TATTAACAATAATTTTAAGTGCTCACGATGAACGTTTAGGACATTGAAATGGCTTGTTGTGATCTAAGCAAATTTGCTGAAACTGAAAAAATGTATCCTTAGCCGTTTACCGAAAAATTGTTAAATAAGTATAGATTGTTACGGTTGAAATAGGTGACAGCAAAATGTTTGTGGTATTTATTACTACAACAAAAATGTTTTTAAGTCTTAGTAATGTTAAATGAGATGTCGTGTTATATATTAACCATTAATAGCTTCTTAAGCAGTACTACAACGTTGTGGTATCAAATAGAATTACCGAATTCTACGCACTCTGATATGTTCTGAACATTCTTTAGTCGTTTGAAATAGGCTTTAAGTGAGATATATTTAATAACAACGAAATGCTATTAAAAAGCATAATATTTATTGTTTATTAATTTATCAGGGTAATATTTAGTACTTGTATAACCAGTATGTACTAATGTTACGGTATTTAACCAATAATTTTCTTATTTGGTAAGCAGTACTACTTCCAAACGTAAAGTTACCAAATTCTGTCAAAAAATAATGGGACATTTTGTGTAAATTAACCTTAATTACAAAAATTATACAATCAACAATAATTAAGTAACGTCAAATTTTCAATTTGCATTGTATCATTGTGTTAATTTTGTAATTAAGATAAATTCATACAAAATGTCTCCCTATTTTTAGACAAAATCTGGTCACTTCATCCAAACGGAATAAATACTGAATTAAAAGGTTATCGATTATAGATTTTTTTGCTGTTATGTAAAAGTATGCAGTAAAGGTACTATCGCTAACAAAAAAAACTCATACAGCTATATTGTGGCTGTGTGAATAAAACTTTTCCGTCAATGTCAAGCTGACATCGAGCTTTGTCACATCCAATATGACTTTTTTAACATTTTCAACCAAACAATGCAGACAAACTCTGGCAAGCCATTGAACCCATTTGGAACGAGATAAAGCAAGGCGGCGACTTCCATGCTTTGCCGTTTGCGGGCAGACAAAAACAGAGGGATGACGAAATATTATTTTTTTTTTAACTTCAACCTAACTTTGTATTTAATTTTAGACCTTTCAAATGTGACGTATCATGTTAAAAGCCATAATTACTCCAACGAAATGATAGAAAATCAGGAACACTAGATTCTTAAGCTGTATGAGTTTTTTTTGTTAGCGATAGTAATAGGATAAAAGAGAACATGTTTTTCAACAAATTTTTATTAAAAAAATATATATAAAATTCTTAGAATGAAATAAATGATATCTTCTCCTTAACTTTTATGATAAACATAAAAACCTAAACCAACAATAATACAATATATATACTAAATATAAGAAGGTGTAACAATAAAACATTTAATAAAAATATAATAAATAATTTACTTATTTGTTAAATTTTACTTAATATTAAACAAGTATTTGTCATTCCCAAAAGGGTTAGCTATAAGTTTTCAAACTCATAGCCCCACTGTATAGATATTACCACAGAACACTTGTTCTGTGGATATTACTAATATATTAAAAAATAACGTCAAAACTCTTCAAAACAAATATTGAACATTGAATCTTATTATAATAATACCTACAGGTAACTTACAGGCTGTAAGAAGAAATACCCAAATAGATTTTTTACGGAAAAGCATAGAAAAGAATAGTTTTTCTATGGTAAAGGGCAAAAATGTTTATCCCGTCACCACGCAAAGGCTGCAAGCGAATATAAACCTAACCTGATCAAACTATTAAATATAATGAAGTAAGTACCCCTTTACAAGCAAAAGCAAAAAGCGTAATATTAGAATGAAGTAAATTAAAGTTATGTTAGGTATATATTCTTAATAATACATAAATAATTAAGTATTTACTTACCCTTAAAAACACAAATTAAATCTTGTAACTTCCAATTTATTAGTAAATCGTCCATTGAGGCGTCTTTATGCAAGCTTACTAACAACAATGGCAATTGTGCGAGATGAACAGTATAGATAAGCTTTGTTTTAGTATTACCAACTTCAAAATTACTAAGATATAATAGAACGTTGTAGTAATACTTACCACAAATGTTTAGTGCCGATAAAAGAATTCATATTCGGAAGAGTTACTTGTTACTTGATTTACTTATAATAACTGTGTGAGTTGTTTATAAATTAACGATGTGGTATTAGTTTGGCAGCATTTTGTAATACTTTTAAATAGGATCTGTTTTGGTTAAGCCTACTATAACAACTGTTACATATTTGACATTTTTCCTGTTGTTATATATTAAGGGTTTTAGGTCGCCATTAATACTAAAGCATGTATTATTTCATACTAATTTAGGCTACATTTTTGTTGCAGTATTACTAGATAAATGCTTAGTTTTTCTTTATGCATCGTAAATGTATATTAAACATTTTGCCTTTTTATTTTCTACTGAACCTATACTACAATTACGTAGTAGTAAAAATTTTTAAATAAATTTTCTCTAGTAACAAATTGTGACTGACAGTGTCAAATGCTTAAGCAGTCAGTCACAATTTGTTACTAGAGAAAATATATAAATATGGAATTAGAGGTCAATGCCAATAATTATTTCAATCATATCTTTCGGGTAGATGCCAAATTGTAAAGTGGAAAAATAAATATTCAAAAAAAAACTAATTCACCATGGAGTACCTCAGGGGTCAATACTGGGTCCCATTTTATTTATTATTTATATGAACGATTTGCCTGCCAATGTTCCCAACTGTGATAGGTGCCTTTATGCAGTTGACTTTTCTCTTTTATATGGTAGTGAAAAAAATAATAATTATTGTAAAGTATCAATCGTCAAAGAATGGATGAGTGTCAATAAACTGTCATTAAATGTGGAAAAGACTCAATATATACGATTTTTCTGTGATCCAATACCTGTGATATTAAGTTTTTAGGACTATTTATTGACAATAAGTTAAAGTGGAACATTCATATTGAACAGTTAACCAAAAAGCTAAATAGTGCAATATACTGCGTAAGAAAACTGATGAAACATGCTGATAAAACAACCGCGAAAACACCATATTTTGCAAATTTTCATAGCAAAAATTAGTTATGGCATACTTTTTTGGGGTTTATCTGGTGAGTCTCAAAATGTATTTTCGTTGCAAAAAAAGGCGTTACGAGTAATATGTTCCATAAAACAGATAGACAACTGTAGACAATATTTTATTTCAGAAAAAATTTTAACTTTTACTAATATATACATTTTATCGTGTTCCAATTTTGTGTATTCAAATTTAAAAACCTTTAAAAAGAACTATGATTTGCATGATTACAATACAAGAAAAAAATATAAACTCAAAACAGCTCTGCATAAATCCAAACTTACCCAGCAATGTATTGATTTTTGGGGTCCGAAAATCTTCAATCATCTATCAAAGAGTGTTCAGGAACAACCTTCAAAGAAAAAATTCTCTCGAGATTTTAAATCATTTTTGTCAAATCCTTTTTATAACCTGGAAGAGTTTTTTAATTATAAATTTTAAAGGATTTTTGTTTAATGTATATAATATATAACATATTATGTTTATAATTTGTTAGTTTATAAACTCTTTGATTGTTTACTTACCTGTTTATATTTGTAATATTTTTTTGTATTTATATTTTACCTACTATATACCAACCTGTACACCTGTGTACACGTAATGTAATTTTTATTACTTTAATAAACCTCTATTCTATTCTATATATAAAATAAACGTATATTTACTCTCCATTTCAGTAAATTTATTTTTGAACTTTTGTTCGTTTTCTTTCTATGTTATTTTTCTATTCTTCCTTGCTGTAGTTTTAAGGTCAGTACTACTAAAGCTAAAGCTCTTTGATTTTGCTTTTATTTTAGTAAGAGCGTATTTCGTTGCAACATCAAACAAATCTTTAAGGTCACTTCTGAAAATTTTCTCTGTATAATTGTCGCTTTGAAAGCTTGTTCAATTCTAAATATAATTCATACACATCTGGATATTTTTCTCACACATGAATCAATTTGCTTCGTAGATACCCTGTCACGCTGCTAAATAGTCAAAACTACTTCATACATGTGTTTGTAACTTACTGGTGAAGTCTTGCTCTTTTCTAAATGAAGACAATCTAATCCACAAGAAAGTCATGCTTTAAACAAAATTGGCTGTCCGAAAAGCCAGTTAGGTGGAGCAGTACTCGTCGTCAATCTGATACGTCCGTACGACAAGGTACTTAATGAGTAAAGCATCAACACAAATGAATATAAAATAGACCACAAATTATCTTTATCTCTTTATACCTAACACACGATTTATTATTTTTCATGAGAGAATTAATGAAAATAAATTAATTTTCGAACAAAAATTACTTTGTTCTTGTTTATTCTAATACTTGCTGGTAAACAAAATCACACACAATTTCCACCTCAACTACCTGAAGATATTATGCTAGAAAGCTAAAAAATTTTAGCTTAAATACTACAACTAAAAGACAACTTTTGGTTAACCACTGGGTAAAACCAGTAAATGGAAACCTAAAGGATTCAAATTTGGTACGAATATTATTACCTAATCACCTAAAGAAATACCCCGTGGAGAGGCCAGATTTAACAATATTTTTCACAATAATTGTGGTATGGAGAGTAGGGTGGTCCACAATTATTTTGGACCATCATACTGTCCATATATGATAAACCAAAAGTTAACTATTTTTAATTGTCCATATATGTATACAATGCGATTAATATTGTGTATCTTTGGCTGCTCCTTATTTAGGTGGTTTAAAAATGTTTCTTTTCATCAAGTTCTTTTAAAAAATTGTTTCATATTAAAGCTGATCGAAAGTTATTAACACGTCTCAACGAGAGGTTTAAATTTTCCTTTAGATTTTCTTTGTTTTTCCATCTATTCTATACATTTTAAAGTAACAGGTTTTTATTATTATAATACAGTGATATTATTTACCCCTGAAACAAAAATAACTAATACACTAATATTGTAACATTATTTCAGATCCGTGGTAAAATGTTGGACCGTTCGTCTCGCTCTCTAAAACTAAAAAATCTTAATTCAGACACGATTTACATGATCTGCGTGCTGGCTTTGGGCAACTGGCCATCCAATGTTCCCCAAAATCCGCAGTCACGTTTGGGGCAGAAACACCACGAAGAAAACTTAACTTCTTTCGATGAATTTGAGATTTTAAGCGAAAACATCCTGGGCTCTTTGGTGGAGTCTACCACCAGCAAATGCACTAAAGTGACCACATTGGGAGCGCCCGATCTGCAAATGGGACTTGGTAAGCTAAAAATTGTTATTGATGTAGCTTGGTTACATTTTTAAGGCTCATTCCATTTGATGACAAAGTGATGAACACAGATGTTGTATAATTCTCTAGTTTTTAAAGAATCCTCATTAAAAATGACTCAATTGTGTAAATTCTGAAGATCTTGGAGCCCAAATAATGTCTAATCACACGAGGTTAAATTGATATATCAACCAATTAGACAGAATTATCAAAAATTGTTCTTTATAGAATAATTTGACAAAATGTAGAGTTTACTTTTTGCATTTAGAGATTTAAAGTTAAAAAATAATTAAACATAATCTGTGACCATCGTACAACTTTGCATTACTTAAAATGGAATGGGTAACTATTATTTTCAAGCTTTGTAAAAACTTAAATGTTTAGGTGTTCTTCCTGAAAACAATATGGGACTCCAATCCATCTTAACCCGTCGTCTTGGCCTTATCATCGGCTGCTGCATGGGTTTCGTAGTGTTCATAGTTCTAGTGTCGGTTTTGGGTTACTTAAAGGTAAAAAAGCAGCGTCAAGCTGTTAAAAGAGAGCAACCCATCCCCCCGGAATACATTTCTTACAGACATTTTTCCATTCAAAGTGGAGAAGCAACCGGGGGACATCCTCAATTCATTACCAATATGGCCACCACTTCATTAAATTAATTAAAAACAGTGAATCGAAATAAAAATACGTTGTAAATATTTGTTTATATAATAAAATTGACCAAATCCCAAGGATGGCAAGAATTTCATATGTATTTTACCAAGAAAAGTAAAACAGCGAAGAATTCAAGAAAGTTAAAGGCAATAAATACTAAAGATGTTAATGGAATAATGTGTAAATATTGTGAAATCTTGTGAAAAAAATATAAACTTTACAGTGACAAAAGTAAAGATGGTGCTATTTAATTCCAAGATATTACAGAAAGGGAAATTCAAAAACTTTAAAATATTATGTTTACTAACTGTTTTATACACAAGACTAAACAATTACGAGATTAATTAAATAACATTATAAAAGTTTGTAAATGTTTACATCAACCGTTTTATAAATTATACAAAGGGTGGTGAAAACGTTTTGTCATAACCGTTGTGAATATTATTGTGCCATGTTTGTGTTACACTTTTATTTGGGAATAGACTTCATACAATCATCTTTGAATACTTTAGACATGCATACAATAGATTAAGCCTAATTAAATTAACAACCTGTATTATATTTAATGCAGCATAATCGTAGAATATGTCGAAATGAATTAAATGAGAATAATTTGTCATTTTTAACTAAGGGACGCTTCAACAACAAAAAGGGATGACCCGAGGAAAACTTTACAACAAAACCTTGTTTAGTTTAAAAACCCTAAAATTTTGTTGAGGAAAGAAAACATTAACATATATTGACGATTCTATTCCATATCAAGTAAGATGAATATAAACCTTGGCAGAAGTAATTGTTAAGATTTGCTGTCCCATTAAGTTATTTTTGACAGTTATCAACCAAAAAAACTGATAGAAATTATCTCTTGGACAAGATTTTTTTAAAAAGAAACAAACCTAAATATATTAAATATTTAGGAAAGCAATATCTTAAAGTACCTTCCCTGATTTCTGATTTTCTTGACTTTATTAGTTAATATTTTGCCGAGGACTGTCAGGATTAAATCCCTCAATTTGTTTTTAATATGGTTGCTTTTTTTAAATAATACTAATAACTAACTTAAAAAATAATGGTTAATATTAAATACTTATTTTATTTGAACCGTTTTACTTAAAAATAATTAGTGTTGTTAAATAGGTTTAGAGATGAATAAAACTTAAATTTGTGTTGAGGTAGTAACGTTTCCGTTGGGTCAACCTACATGTCACCAAAAGTTTGTTTTGTAAGCACAAAAGTAAAGTTGGGTTGTACCATGTAATTATTATGAATTCATTTATTCCCTTTACATTTTTGCTGTGGCTCCCGTCCCTAGTGACTTCATAATTTTAAGATTTGTTATGTTACGATAAAACTAAAACAAACCAACCAAACTAACCCAACCCAACACTTTTTAACAAAGTAACAACAAATTTATAAAATACAAAAATACAAAAAGTTCGACAACCATCTGAGCCATCCAGCTTAACATTAATTTTATAACGCTTGGGGAATAAAAACGGATTTACAGTGTGTGACGTCAGTCAGGATCGAACTTACAAGTAAGTCCTCGGGACGGGAGCCACTTTGTTACATTTTACATACATATTTAATTTTTTGTGCCTTTGGCAATGTTTTATAATTATATAATGTTAACTTTTACAAGTTTGTCTGTTATAAGCGTATCCCTAGTTCAAAGCAACTCCAAAGTTTTTATACTTAAGTTAATTTTTAAATTTTGACGACCAAATTTACAGACTAATAAAAAGTAAGTTCAAATTCTTCATATTTAAAATAGAGTTTAAATATATTGTTTTTCATTAAAACTATAACTGCAGATATGAGTTAATAAGGATTGGGTATAAAAATAGCCTATTGTAAAACTGTATACGTAAAATACATATACACATACAAAAAACACTTTCAAACTTCTTTATATACAAATTTTATTACACTGTGTTTCATAGGAAAAAGTCAAATAATTCTTTAAAGTCCGACCAGAAAATAGTATATGGTTTACCGAGCGTGGAATCAGCGATTACTTAATCCCAAAGATAAAAGTTTCCGAACGAGCCGATAGGCGAGTGAAGGAATTCATTGAGGGAGTAATTGCGATTCCACACGAGGGAAACATCACACTTTTTGGAATCGCTTACAAATACACAATTTGGGTACCTACCTGCAAAAAATTAAAATCTGAGGTTAACATTCAGTCAATAACTGCATGGCAGAAGGAGGGAATTAAACATTTCTTACCTGATGACAGGGAGGGAATGAAAATATATACAGGGGAATAAGGATGTTCACAGCGGGAGAAATGAATGTCATTAATTATTAACAATTGCTAATACAATCCGCGCATTATTAACCACTTGACAAAAATGCTTTTTTTTTTCAAGCGTATATCAATTTTCATATTATAACACTATAGTGCCTATATATAGTAGGGTGAGCCAAAAAAACTAAAACTGCAGTTTTAGTGATTTTTTACACTTTTCAAAGCTTTCAAACATACGAATTATAGAATTAAAAAAAAATCCTGGTATAGATTCTTTGGGAAATTTTATGCTCTACAAGAATCCGCGACGTAAAAAATTTTATCTCAAACGGTTCAAAAGTTATAGTCTTTTTAATGAAAAAAGATTTTTTTACGTGTTATTTCAATGGAAAACTTAGTATGCTCACCGACACCTTTTAAAATTGAGCAAAAAATTTTGCCTTGCAGGGAAATTTTTTGCTCGGTATGTAGGTTCATTTTAACCCATAAATCCGATAGGTTAGTTTTTTTGGCTTACCCTAATATATAGGCTACATATATAAAATTTATTATACAACGTCGTAGTGTATTAAAATTACATTGAAAGAGTAGTTCCATCTATCGCATTTAGCTTTAATAAAAAATCAGTAAAAATAACAGGTCACTGTAGAATAAATCCATACACATAACCTATAATTTTACATTTGTCAAACGTCAAAACTATGACAAAATGTATCAAACTCGGGAATTTCAATGTAAGTAACTACAGAATTATTAAACGCTTAAAAAAAAGAGTATATAAACGGCGGAGAAAGCATATTAACTGCCTCGACGGGCGTCTCGTCAGCGAACACTGAGCTTGGCTTTCATAAGCGCTTTTTCCGCCTGTTAGATAATGTACTATTCTGGTATAAAGAGTGGTAAAAATTACATTTAATATTGAGTAATGCATTAAGGTATTTAAAACAATAAATTTGTTCCATTTAAAATGAAAATTTCTTGAAATGTTCAAGTTCAATGTTCAATCCTACCTCTTAGTTTCAGTTTTAAGAGCTTTACCATTCTCTCTTAAAATGAATTAGTCAAAAATAACTAATTATAAGTCATATTTGACTAATTGTCATAGCGAAAAAGCAGTCACTAATAATTAGTCAAATTCTACTGAATTAAATAGTCAAATTAGTAGATTTAAATTTAAAAAAAGTTTGTCAAGCTGTCATAACCTATTCGGCCATCAGCCGCTCTTATAAAAATCAATTTTATTTGTCAATAAATATTGTTAATAATATTTTATAGTTGAATATATTATTTGTGTTGCTGTTTTGAGCTAAACTTTTTGCATGTTTATTTGTTTTTATGGGTCATTTAAACATGGAGCTTAGGTATATGCCTTTAATTCAAATAATACTTTGTTGTTGGCCGCAAACGATTAAAGAAATTAGTTACTTTTAACTCTCAGAAATAGTCAAAGATAGTGACTAATCTTAAATTAGTCAATCATTTACGTAGTAAAAAATAAATATTTAAAAGTGAAAACGACTATTTTATTAGTAAAAAATGCTGGTACTAATTCAAATAGTACAATTTTGACTATTTCATTTTTAGAGAGTTAACTTAAAAACTTTGCTATTATACCAAATTATTTTTTTGTATTTCTTCCTACATCCTACGTAGCCATATTTTATATAACTGACTGATTCCTTTTAAGCACATTAAATTCTCTACAAAAAAATTCCACTAGGGAAAGTTTTAATGGCTAATATTAAATACAATTTTAATTATGCGTTTTTAAATCCAAACAAAATAGTGATTAAAATAATAAACTTTGTGGCAAATTAAATGTATTTTTGGAAACGTAGAAAAAGTATAGTCTGAAACATTTCGAATTGCATATTCCAAACTTGTTATAGAATATACTAATTCTTTACTGTAGCGATTGTAGGAGGTTACAACAGGTTATTCGTAAGTAATATCATAAGGGCATTTAATTTTTCCGAAAAGAATCGAAAAAACACGTTGCTAAGTAATATTTTAACAAAAAGCATGAGTGCTGGTGGCAACAAAAATCCGAGTCGAAGAGTACAGCATTGTGTTTTTTCGATTTTTTTTTTAAATTAGATGCCCGAATGGTATTTGACAAGACTATTTCATGAGTAACAGTAACAATTAAAATATAAATTGCAATTTTTGGTGACAACAGTTGTCAAGTTTTGCCGAGGGTAAACTCGAATAAACTGCTGACAGGTGCTGTCACACAGTTTTTTCACCTAGAAACCATTTGTAATTCAAAATTGCGCGTTTGTGATTGGTGGAAATTAAGACGAGGGAAATAGACAATAATAAATTTCATTGTGATGGGTAGGTTGATAGGGTAGGTAGATTTTGCCAACCGTGTTGGATTTGGAACCAACTGCCTAGGCTTTGGAGGTTTGGAGGTTTGAACTCAGTAGGTGAAACATTAATTTAATCAAATATAGTACTTAAGTTAAATTTTATTTGGTTTTATTGTAGTATTTTTATGTTGCAGTTCATTTAAATTAATTTTATGTTTTTGTTCATCTCCTGTTTTTTTTCGGTACTCATTTTCTTATGAGGAACCAAATATAATTTTTCACCATTCGTTTATTTAAAAATCCCTTATAGGGCCGCTTCATTTTTGGTAAAATCTTTCACCATATCGTTATTTAGGCTACAGAGATTTTTTGAAAAATAAAGTTTTGATTTAGAGACATATTTACAACCGTTGATCAAAGAAATGAAAGATGCAATGTA